GGCAATAGCCATGTAATTAAAAATCCATCCCTCTTTTTGATACAAAGAGAATGTGGCAAAAAGAAATATAACTTGTACTATAAATCTGTAGCTAATAATGCCATATCTCAAAGTACTTTTTGGAATCTTCAGAGCCACAAAGTCATAGAGAATTCTCAACTCTCGGAAGGAAGGAAGGAAGGAAGGAAGGAAGGAAGGAAGGAAGGAAGGAAGGAAGGAAGGAAGGAAGGAAGGAAAGAGGAGGAGGAGGAGGAGGAGAGGGAGGGAGGAAGACATATACACACAAACAAATATGTGCATGTGCATGTCTATATGACTTCAAGTCAGTCTTGATTCCTGGCAACTGTTTGGACAATTTCGTGTAGTTTTCTTGGCAACAATTTCAGGAGTTTGCCAAGCTTGCCATTGCCACCACTGGAAGACCTGAAGGACCAGAGGACAGTTCATTCTAGAGCAAATCTATTTCTGTGGTTGCTAACAGGTGACACCTACTTATTGGCACATAATCAGTCAATCAATCAATCAATCAATCAATCAATCAATCAATCAATCAATCTCTTCTATAAATATAAATTTAGTGCCACTTTTGAAAGCAGAAAGCCACAATATTATTCATGACCAATATACTTTGCTTTTTCAAAGATGGCCTCAATTATTCTTTCTAGTAGTGCTTGTTAAGAAGGCACAATACACAAGGGTAGTCCTGTAGCCTATGAACAAACCGGTTTTCTAGCCTTTTTCACTACAGCAAAAAGATACTGGCCTAGGTCAGATGCAGTAACAAAATATTGCTACCCCTTTGACATTAGGTACATACATTCATAACAAACCAGTTGCTTATTTTGGCTACTATAGTTGTACAATATATAGTAAAGTAAAATAGCTTGGTACCATAGTTTGTAGAAGCCAGTTTGCCATGTTCAGATCAATAAGGAAACACTGTTTTGATAGAAACTATGAACCAAGACAAATCCCCTCTCCTTGAGGGCAAAGACAAAAAGAAGAGAGAATGCATAAATCTGAAATCTGTTGCAAATCATAAATATAACTAGAATGTTTAATTTGCTATTCTGTTTCAACTAGACCAGGGTTCCCCAAAGTGGTCAATACTGAGGTGATGGGGCTATCCAAGGGTTTATTATTCTTCATAGCACTATTAAAGTAGTATTTATTAAATTATTTTCATATAATAAACGTTTGGGGGTTGTTGACCAATCTGAAACTTCATGAAGAGGTTGATGAGCTGAAGATTTTGAGGACCCCTGACCTAGACCCATGTTAGAAAGCTGAGATAGATAAGAAAGAGGCCTATGTGGCTTTAGATGTTTTACTAGCTACGGATCAGTAGGAGGTACTACACAACCAGTTTCCTCCTTATTGGCAGTCTTCAGGCATTGGTATCCTTCACATGAAATATTCCATGTTCAATCCTTTAACAGGGTTTGAACCTGCAGGCCTTACACTTGATGATTATATAGTGCATTTAGCTTTAGAGTTATCTTGGTCTGGCTGTCAGTAGCTTGCTTTGATAAGAGATCTATGTGGCTTGTGGAATCTATCATCTTTCAAACCCCCTTCTATTGTTTTCCCCGGGTTATGCAATATCACTATAGGGAAAACAGTAATGAAAGGGGCCTTTGAGTGTATTGCTGAGCACTACATCGACCAAGAAACAATCCTTTCCTTCTCCTAATCTCCTTCATTTAGAGAATGGTTAAGCAATCTTTTGGGGGGGTTAGGTCCTTTCATAAAATGAGTTATTTGTAGAGATGTACAAAACCTACCATTGTAGGAATGGACTACCCTGGGTCATGGACCAGGCTGGTCTGACCACTCAAGGGGATGGTGTAGTGGTTTTCTGGAAATTAATCTTCTGAAATGAAGCCGTTAGTGTTGTTCCAAAAAAATATGGAGTGTGACCATGAATGTCTTCCATTTGGAAGATTTAACTTTCAGAACACTGCTGGATCATCTTCAGAACAGTGGGATGAATATGCTCCAGATCAAAAACAGAACATTCTGGAGTTCTTGGAAAAGTAAGATTTGCTGATTAGTTAGCTAATTGGCTGCCTTAGTGAGTACAGCCACCAGGTGGGCATGCTTCCAACCAAAGTCCTGGGCTGCAGCCCCCCACTGTATTTATTTCCTAAGGATGCCTCAGGAGCCTATATCAAGCACAGAGATGGAAATAAGGATGACGCAAAGACAGTTGCTTTGCTCTGCAACCTGCCAAGCTTCGCATGTATTATTATTTCTAATTAAAATAACCTAAAATAAATCCAAGCCAGGTATAGCTGGCAAGTTGCTGAATTCTGGGGAGGTGTGCCAGTGGCTCAAGGTGCACTGGCACAGGCCTCAGTTCCTAACTACAATTATGCAAAAATGACCAAAAATGCATTGTGATCTCCTACTAGCTCCAGTCTTTCTACTTGCACTATAATGTCCCATACAAAGATAAAACTTATGATGTCACAATGCATTTTTCCACTTGTCTCTGTGGGACAAGTGCCCATGCCCCAATAAGCATGTTTTGGAAACACCACCAGTCTTACAGATTTCAGGCATCTCCACTACTGAATGGCCCCCTTGCTCACAAGCAATCCTGGTTTACTAACATGGAACCATAGATTAATAATCACAAATTACAGAACTGTAGGTTTTGCTCTGGTGCAAATAGCAGCTTAAGAGGGGCAATTTAAAACATTTGAAAATGACACAGGATGAGGAAGGTCTACTTCCTCCTCTTCTGCCCAATGACATTAGTCCAGTTCTGATAACATGGGAGATCTGATTATAGGTCCCACACTGTCTCTTAGTGCAACATGTTGCAGGACTTCACTTGTGCAACCCTGCAACTGTTCTGAAATGTTTGTTATGACCATGGTCCTGTTTCCCGACTAGACTTAGTCCTTTCCTTGTGGCTGTCTGAGTGGATACTGGGGGG